GGTAGATACATTCCTTAAAAATTATAGCTTGGTTTTTTTTTTTTTGAAGATTTTATTTATTTAGAGAGAGAGAGAGAAAGCGAGTCAGCAGGGACAGGGGCAGAAGAGAGAGAGAATCTCAAGCAGACTCTATGCTGAGCACAGAACCTGACTTTGGGCTTGATCTCACAACCCTGAGACCATGACCTGAGCCAAAACCAAAAGTTGGACACTTAACTGCCTGAGCCACCCAGGAACTCCCAAAATTATAACTTGCTCTTGACTATAAGATTCATTACAAATATCAAAGATGTTAATATGTGAAAAAATGCAGTACTTAAAACTAATGAAATATAGTAACTCATTTAATCATCTCAACAACCCTTGAGTTAGGCAATGTTATTTTTCCCATTTTTACAAATCAGGAAATTCATAGAGTTCAGAGACGTTAGGTAACTTGCCCAAGATCACACAGCTAGTAACTAGATGCATGGGAATTGAACCCACATCAAGCTGATTCCAAACACCATGCTCTTAGCCTCTATACCACAGGAGTCTTAGATTCTCCATGTAATAGGGTGTTCAGGAGTTTCCAAAGCTTTTGTTCCTGATATAGCTTCATTTAAAATTGGAGAAGAATTGGGGCACCTGGGTGGCTCAGTCAGTCAAGTGTCTGCCTTGGGCTCAGGTCATGATCTCAGGGTCTTGGGATCAAGTCCCGTGTCAGGGGGAGTCTATTTGTCCCTCTCTCTATGCCCTCCCCCCAACTCATGCTTGCACTCTCTCTCTCTCAAATAAGTAAAGTCTTTAAAAAAAGAAAATAAAATAAAATTGGAGAAGAATATAGGGATCTCTATCAATTCTTTTTCTTTAATTTCATTTTTTACAAGTTTGTATTTAAATTCCAGTTAGTTAACATACAATGTAAATTAGTTTCAGGTATAGAATTTAGTGATTTATCACTTACATACAATACCCAGTGCTCATCACAACAAGTGCCTTCCTTAATACCCATCACCCATTTAACCCATCCTTCCACCCACCTCCTTTCCAGTAACCATCAGTTTGTTCTCTATAGTTAAGAGTCTATTTCTTGGTTTCTCTCTCTCTTTTTTTCCCCCCTGCTATGTCCATTTGTTTTGTTTCTTAAGTTCCACATATGAGTGAAATCATATGGTATTTATCTCTCTCTGACTGACTTATTTAACTTAACACAATAGTCTCTATCTCCATCCACGTTGTTTATGAATGGCAGGATTTCATTCTTTTTGATGGCTGAGTAATATTCCATTGTGTATATATACTATATCTTCTTTATCCATTCTTCAGTCAAAGGACATTTGGGTTCTTTTCATAATCTGGCTACTGTTAATAATGCTGCTACAAACATCAGGTTGCATATATCCCTTCAAATTAGTATTTTTATATCTTTTGGGTAAATACTTAGTAGTGGAATTGCTGGATCCTAGGGTAGTTCTATTTTTAACTTTTTGAGGAAACTCCATACTGTTTTCCAGAGTGGTTACACAGTTTGCATTCCCAGCAATAGTGCAAGAGGGTTCTCCTTTCTCCACATCCTTGCCAACACCTGTTGTTTCCTGTGTTGTTAGCCATTCTGACTGGTATGAGGTGATACCTCATTGTAGTTTTGATTTATATTTCCCCGATGATGAGTGATGTTGGTCACCTTTTCATGTATCTGTTAGCTATCTGTATGTCTTCTTTGGAAAAATGTCTATCCATGTCTTCTGCCCATTTTTTAACTAGATCATTTAGTTTTGGGTGTTGAGTTTTATAAGTTCTTTATAGATTTTGGATACTAAGCCTTTATCAAACAATGTAATTTGCAAATATCTTCTCCCATTCTGAAAGTTGCCTTTAGTTTTGTTAATAGTTTTGTGCAAAAACCTTTTTATTTTGATAAAGTCTCAATAGTTTATTTTTGCTTTTGTTTCCCTTGCCTCAGGAGACTTATCTAATAAGAAGTTGCTATGGCCGATGTCAAAGAGGTTATTGCCTGTATTCTCCTCTAGGATTTTAATGGTTTCCTGTCTCACATTTAGATCTTTCATCCATTTTGAGTTTACTTTTGTGTATGATGTAAGAAAGTTGTCCAGTTTCATTTTTTTGCATGTTGCTGTCCAGTTTTCCCAACACCATTTTGTTGAAGAGACTTTTTCCATTATAGAAAACCCAAAAGACACCACCAAAAAATTTGTAGAACTGATACACAAATTCAGAAAAGTCGCAGGATTCAAAATCAATGTACAGAAATCTGATGCACCAATCATGAAGCAGTAGAAAGAGAAATCAAGGAATTAATCCCATTTACAATTGCACCAAAAACTGTAAGAAACCTAGGAATAAACCTAACCAAAGAGGTAAAGGATTTCTACTCTGAAGACATAAAACACTGATAAAAGAAATTGAAGATGACACAAAGAAATGGAAAAACATTCTATGTTCATGGATTGGAAAAACAAATATTGTTAAAATGTCTATACTACCCAGAGCAATCTACACATTTCATGCAATCCCTATCAAAATACCAAGAGCATTTTTCACAGAGCTAGAACAAACAATCCTAAAATTTGTATGGAAGCACAAAAGACCCTGAGTAGCCAAAGCAATCTTGAAAAAGAAAAGCAAAGGTGGAGGCATCACAATCTGGACTTCAAGCTCTATTACAAAGCTGTAATCATCAAGACAGTATGGTACTGGCACAAAAGCAGACATAAATCAATGGAACAGAATAAAAAACCCAGAAATGAACCTGCAACTAATGGTCAATTAATCTTCGACAAAGCCAAGACCTATAATTAATTCTTGAGAAAAATTGAGAATTTAGTTGAGATGATTAAACTTGAATTAAAAAAAACGTTTTGAAAATCATTTGTCTGAATTTTGTATAAAATTGTTATAGTAATCAGATTAAAGAGTTGTTGGTACATCTTTTACCAAGATCAGTCATGAGTCAACTGAAATTTTAAAATCTATAAATCTATAATTAACCACATTGCATGTGGATCTAATGTTCCTCAGAGAATGATAGAGACTGAGCAAATGTTTAAATTAATGCCTACCATGAGTATAGACATTTATTTTTCTATTTTTTAAAGTGAAAGTTAGTAGTTAATGAAAACAATCCATCAAAGTTCTCTTTTCTAGGTTTCATAAAAAGAGGTAGCAACACTTCTGTGTAGCATGTCAAAATTCTAGCATTACATGAAGTATTGGAAATAATCTTTGTAAGGAGCCAAAAATGGCTAACCAAAAGAAGAAACTGTATATTTTATCTAAGTAACAACCAGCACAATTTACTTTTTAGAAAGCTAATGAGTTAAGAAATAACAACTACGTACTACATTGTTTTTGCCTATAAGTAATGAAGTACATGAAAGAACAAACGGTAGTTAAATGTACTGTGGGCCAATTGCATAGTCATGGATACCAGATGCTTTATCTGTGGTAATTCAGCAAAATAGGATTAGAAATGTCAAATAGAAAAGATCTCATTAAGATAATTCTTCCAGAAATTGGGCGCCTGGGTGGCTCAGTTGGTTAAGCGACT